AGGGAATCCTCGCCCCTCCCACTTACCATTCTCAAGCAACTGTAGTAGGGGAACGGAGGGGTCTGTGGCGTTCGGTACCGACATCATATCAGAACGATGAAGGACGAACCAAGCCATCAAATAAGTGTACGGAAGCTCCACCCTAACAGTAGGAATCTGAGCCGGCGATTCACTTTCCTTCCGTGTAAAAGCACTAGAAATCTGTCGAAGCCCTCGATGAATGTTAGCCACCATCACCGGAAGAAGCGAAAGTTCCTTTTTGTAGGCAAGCTAAACCGCTGGGTAGAGCACCTCCAATGGCAAGATATCACTAGACTGATACGGGACCACGCATTTCTTCAACCAGATAGCGAGGTAACCGGCTAGAAGGGTCATCGGTCGAATCGGCGCGGTCGCATGCCACAAGAATGATTTAAACTTGGTCCCTGTAGGAAAACCACTCTCAGGACTGCTAATGGTATAGGAATGAGCATCAACCTTCTTCAGTAGACTATTAACCCCTGAAGGAGTGAGTGGTGCCAACTCACAAATAGCCTCGCCAGAATTGCTCTCTAGATTCCTGAACAAATAAGACGCAAACTGTTTCTGGCTCACATGGGATTTAGCCCTCTTCGCTAAAGGTTCAGACTGCGCCAAAGCGATATGATAGTGACATGTGAGGTCCCATAAAGTCTCATAGCGGTCGGGCATACGATCCTTCAGCTGACTTAATTTCATGGTTGGAGGGAAAGTATTCCTGATATAGCATCTGTCCTATGGGCAAACCAGAAATCCTGTGCATCTCATGGAGGGCCAAGCCCAACTCCCCTTGCCGTGTCAGAAAAGTGTTCGAATCCGGGTTGTAGAGCTCGCACAAAGCGAAGAAATGCTTCGCGCTGACAGGCAAACCATACATGGTGGCACGAACGGCTGCATATAGACCACAAGCGTGCAACTCCTCGCTCCATCGGCTTAAGACGTACTTCGTCATGCGAGTCCACCAAAGCTTGTCCAAAGAATGGACCCAGCCATAAAATCTGTGACGCGTCGCAGGCATCTCCCGTCCTAAGGCAGCGAGGCGATTCTTCAATATAGAAGCAGAGGCAAGAAGCTCGTTACGCGGAGGTGCATCCAACCCCAATACTCCAGGATGCAATCCAGTGATATGACTCCTGCTCGAACCAGGAGCTGCCTAATGAGTGATGTAGCCACAGTGAATGCTCTCATGCTCCTCTGTCAAGCGCCACGACATCTCCTGGGTCACAGCCTGACGCCTGAGCTCAGTCAACGAACGATGTCGAGGAATCTTCGGCAAATATATGAAACCACCACCAGTTTTATGAAGCCACTGCTCGGCGTCAAAAAACACTGCATTCGGATCTCTGGCAGAGTCGCCAAATAAAAAGTCAGTCTTCCTGAGAGGCTGAATAGAACTGGCATCCTTCCAGAGTCGCCAAATAAAAAGTCAGTCTTCCTGAGAGGCTGAATAGAACTGGCATCCTTCACGAAAGGCGTATCTGTAATCAACTGTCGAAGAGAGAGGCTGAATAGAACTGGCATCCTTCACGAAAGGCGTATCTGTAATCAACTGTCGAAGAGCTCGATGTCCACCTTCTTCACCACTTGGGCAACCTCTATCGACGTGCCCGAAGCAAACTGGGGAGTAACCGGAATAGGAGAAAAATCGTCGGAAGTCGAATAATACTCGCCACGACGCCCGTACACTGCGTGAGAGGAGAACGCTCCAGAAGGATAGCCCACTGGAAATGAACAGTTAAACATTTGTCAGTCTCAATCATAAAAGGAAGTTGAACTCATCCTATGAACGGGTAAGATAGAGTCGCTGCCTTATAAAGGGTGAGACGATTTGGCCACATTATGTACTTATAAGGTAGGATATATCAAAAAAACATATCCCTGCCTTATAAAGCACAATGCAGCGTCAAAACGCCCCCTTTATTGATTTTGAGATATGGTTTTTGACCAAGCAAAACCCATCTTTAAAGCGTTGATCCCCACCAAGGAGAATCAAGGCTCTTCCCGATTGTCTCACCAAGGAGAACAAAATGGGAATAAAAAGGACCAATTTGTAAATTTCCAAAAAATAGACTAATTTGTAAATTTCCAAAAAAATAGCTCACCGGCATAAGAGGGAGGCGCGCCATCAGCCGACGCAGTAGAGGATTGACCTCTCGCAATACGAGACATAGAGACCTGCAAAATAAATTAAGGGATCAGATCCAGGAAAAAGTTCCTCTTTTTTGCAATCCTCCCTCCCTGAAAGATGAGCTCGAGGCGCCAAATCTTAATCCTAACCCTCGCATGCGATCCCACAAATTCATAAATTGAATTAAGCATGAAATATGCTAAAATTACGGAGGATTTACCTGAGGGAAAGCTCGAAGATCCGACAAAAATCAAATCTTGAAAGAGGCTCGAACCACGCGCTCGAGGGGCCTGAGAGAAATTCTAAATATGGAAATTTTGAGGGATTTCTCAGTCAAAGATCAAAAGGAAGGACGAATCTAAGACAAATATGAAGATTTGAGGAAGAACGGATGCACGAGGGAAGAGAAATCCAAAAATAGGGGAGAGAGGGGGGCCGGCCCTAATGAGGAGAAAAAGACCCTTTTTTATAATATTGAACCAAGCCAAGTTGAACCGGACCAGACCGGGTTTGAACCAAAATTCAAATTAGAGCTGAACCGAGTGTCAAAACAACTTCAAATCGCCCGACGGTTCAGTCCATTGTTTATTCACTCCACTCCCCTATGTTCGGAAGGGTCGGAGGATTTTTTGAGCCTAATTACTGCCTTTTTTGGCTCATTATCAAGCCGGTTCGGCTCATTATCAGGACGGTTCAGCTCATTCGGGCACAGGAATTACTCCAATAAGGTATACGAGTATAAACTATTCCCTATTTTTGGTTGAGAAGTTTCTGAAGAATACTTTTCTTAAGGATAACTCAACAACACTACGCCGGACAACGCGTCACAAATGAGAATTCGACGCCAACAATCGATGGTCAGTTCTATGTTGAACCAACAAACATGAGCTAAAGATCATAAAATCAGGAATCGACTTCAAATTCGAAATTCCGACAACGGTCTAACAATAAATGCAGCACCGAAAACCTTACAGACATTCGACAAAGCACCGAATAGCCTGAAGGATTGAAGAAATCAAGAACAGAAGCCATTCCGAAGTCCCGTTATACCGACTGAAGGTTGGGACAATCATATCCAAAGTATTCCAGACTCTTCTATAAGAGAACGAGGCTGAAATACTTTGGAGGGGGTATCTGTAGGCGTATAAAATTGCTTATAGATCCCTTAGCACAGCTCAGCACAAACCGACGAACCAACAAGGTGACGAGTTTAGCGAATCACACGCAAACAACGGAGTAAATCCACTCGCGTGCGGAATCAAGCTAACGGGTTGAAGAGTCAACGAGTCATCCAACCAAAGGGCAGACTCGGACGAATCACGATCGAATCAAGATCAGTTTCGGACTCGAACTCAGAAGTGGATTTACGGCCAAATCAGGAATCGGATTTACTGCCAAATCAGGAATCAGATTTACTGTCAAATCAGGAATCGGATTTACTGCCAAATCAGGTCAACGATTCAAGTCCGGAAAAATTAACCACAGAACCGGATCATGGACTGAACCGAAAACAAAAAACGACGGAAAACCACGCCTAAGGGCGGGCCTCGCGCCACGCCGCAGCGAGCCAACCCATAGGTGCTCGCCAAAGGCCCCGCGAGCCACCCATGGCTGTGGCTCCCCGCGTGCGCCGAAGCCAACCTATAGGTGGCTCGGCCCAGTGCCGGCCACCTAGAGGTGGCCGACCCAGATCTGTGCGCGGGCACAGTTCAGAGAGCCTATAAATAGGCCCCCTTGGTTCATTTTTCAAAGGTGAGAACTTTGAGAGCCGAAACTCTGCCAAATTGAGAATTGAGCTTGGAGTTTTGAAGACTTAAGGACTTGAACATTCAGATCTGGTTCTCGGCGATCATCCACGTCACAAAAGGCAGTAGTTCGAGAGAGAGAGAGAGAGATCAGATCTGAGATCTACACGAGATCATACTCTGGATCAAAGCTTGGCCTTTGATCCCGAGAACTAAGGGCGATTATTTCCTTGGTGAATTAATCCCCCCCGGCTATTATTTCCTTCGCGAAATAATACCCGTCAAATCGTGTAGATCCGACCGAATCTAGATCACGCGGTAGTCCACGGATTAACCCCGGCGTTGGCAAAGAACCCACACAAGCGAGCGACCGCAAAACAGGAGCTCGTGATTCGTTCGAAAGGAAAGTTGTAATCTTTTTATTTTTCTTTGATTTCGTTGTAACCGGATCTAAAAAAGATCGGATCTTTTGTAACTAAAAAGCAATTACTTGAGATAACAATGAATTCAATGAAGGCAATTTTCACCGCGAACAGTAGGGAGCGCAATATTTTTTAATGATTGATCTTCGTTCTGGTTATCATTAGCAGCGGGTTCGGGAGATGGATATTCCCAAGACCGCCTTTCTGACTCGATATGGGTCCTTTGAGTTTTGGGTCATACCATTTGTGTTGACCAATGCACCCATGGTATTCATGGATTTGATGAACCAGATCTTCCGTCCATACTTGGACCAATTCGTAATTGTATTTATCGATGATATTCTCATCTATTCAAGATCAGAGTCGGAGCACGAGCAGCATCTCCGTTTGGTCTTGCAGACTTTGCGGGAGCATCAGCTATATGCTAAGTTTAGCAAGTGTGAGTTTTGGATTTCTGAGGTCAAGTTTCTTGGCCATGTTGTCAGCAGAGAGGGCATAGCAGTAGACCCAGCTAAGGTTTCAGCAGTGCTTGATTGGGAACCGCCGAAAATGGTTACCAAGATTCGTAGCTTTTTGAGGTTAGCCGGCTATTACAGGAAGTTCATTCAGGACTTCTCGAAGATTGCGATGCTACTTACATGCCTTAAGAGGAAGGGCGTATAGTTCACTTGGAGCACGGAGTGACAGATGGCCTTTGATACCTTGAAGGCTAAGTTGACTACGACGCCAGTTCTTACTATTCCGAGTAGTGACAGGACATTTGTTGTATACACGGATGCGTCGTTAGTAGGTTTGGGAGGTGTTCTGATGCAGACTCAGAGAGTAGTAGCATATATCTCACGACAGCTAAAAGTACATGAGCAAAACTGTTAGACCCTAGAGGGGGGGTGATTAGGGTCTTATGCTAATCTAATCTGATTAAATGCCAATTAAAATTAATTAACAAGTTATCCTAGCAATATGAAATACAACAAGATATGTGAGCTAGGATAAGCAATGTGAACAACAAGATATATCCTAACAAGAGATATAGGCAATGTATATGCAAGGATATAAAACTAACACAATGTGATATATCCTACCAAAGAGATATACAATATGATATATGCAAGGATATGTAACTAAGGGTGATATAAACATAAACAAGATAGTGGATCATATAAATAATGAGCTATGGACAATGTTGATATAAGATATGAACATAAATATAAATGAACGCCAAAGCACACTCAAACAAGCAATATGATCACGGAGTTCGGACCTTCCGTCCTACGTCTCCGCTCCCCACTCCCGGGGAGAAATCCACTAACACAATCCGGTTTGGAAGCCGGAACTTCTTCTACACACTCGGTTTTCTAGCTAACCGAAAACTCTACAACTCACACTCTTGCAATCACACTCTACACCCACTAAGTGTTGGACCTAGCCGTGTCTCCCTCAAGTGCTCGGTTACAACCTCTCCCTAGGCACGTCAACCGACGCCACTCCTCTTGGGACGATCCCCGACTCTCACCACACACTCCTCACTCGGTGTACAAGTGTATTACAAAGTGATTCTCACAATAAGCACAATATAACAAATGATTGTTCTCTCTAACAAGATGAGAACTCAATTAAGCTCACTCTCAATGTCACAAACCCACAACCCTAAATTATACTATGAATGTAAATACAATAAGCTCAAAAGGTTGTGTGTGAACAAAGAGATATAAATCAAAACTAAACTCAATGTAGTTCTAGCTTAATAACAATGATAATCAAATATATAAAAAAGCTAGAAATAGAGTTTAGAAAACTTCTCAATATATCAAGAGTTGGAGGGAGAATAGTTGAATGCCCAAACACCAATAGATGATCTCCTCAAGCTCTTGTAGAATTGAATCACAAAAACAAACTCTCAATTTGCTTAAAAGCTTTTTAAACACACTTAAACCAAACTAAAACCCTTGTTAAAAACTTTATTAAATTCGGTCGACCGGCGGTACTGTAGCAGTGCGTATCTATCTTGTAAAATCAATTTAAAATAGTAAATGAACTCTAAAAATTATGAACTTTTGTGGGAATATTCTAGACATGTAGAATAACATGTCAGAGAAAGAATTTCCGAAAAATCTTTTCACAGTTGAGAGAAATAAATGTTTGAACACAAAAATACAGTTTCTGAAAATCTGCTGTGATACACGATTTTGTAAAATCAATTAGGCATAGTAAATTAACTCCGAAAATAGTAAAATTTTGAGGAAAGTTTCTAAACATGTAGGTAAACATGTCAGAGAAAGAATTTTTCAAATATCACTTCCCATTTGAGAAAACTCATCAGTTTTGTAAAACATGCACGAACATGTGCACGAACGAAAACGTGAATTTGTAAATTCCTTTAAACATAACAAATCAATTCCAAATTTGATGAAACTTTGAGAAATGTTTGCAAATGATATTTTGAACATGTTACAAAAATAATTTTCCAATTTTCATTTTCCAATTGTGAAATCTCATTATTTTGCAAAAGTGTTCAAAACATGAAAACCCAAAACCATGCATGTATATATATAACTATATATATACATAGAAACCAAATACGTGTGTGTATATAATATTGAGCTTAAGGTACTTCACACACATAATATAAAATCTAAACTAGATTACCCAAGCTTGATCTTGATCTTCATTGTAGCTCACCATGCATGTATATATATAACTATATATATACATAGAAACCAAATACGTGTGTGTATATGATATTGAGCTTAAGGTACTTCACACACATAATATAAAATCTAAACTAGATTACCCAAGCTTGATCTTGATCTTCATTATAGCTCAACTTTGTACACATGCGGATGAAGCTTGAACTTGATCTTTAACTATTAATTGCATGTTGCTTCACTCCACAATTCCGCCAACCTCCATTTGATATCGTCGTTATGGCGCAATCCATCCATCCTCCAACAACGTTGTTTATCTATAATATAAATTGTTTGTTAAACATCATCAAAACAAGAAGGCCAACAATCTCCCCCTTTTTGATGATGACAAACAATTTACAAAACGAAGTATATGCATGAAGGAAATGAACATATACAAGATAATACACATGCATATAAATGTATACTCACAATATTTCTCCCCCTTTGACAACATCAAAAAAGGGGACAAAAAAAAATAAGAGAGCGAAAGCTCCCCCTATCATAAAGCATAGGTGAGTATCAAACAAGTATAGGGATTGTTCCCCCTATCAAAAAGCCATATAGGATATAAGCAATAAAAGATCATGGCATAACATGTGAGTAAGCATAAAAAATATGCTAACAATCACTCACATTCAAACAAGATAATGAGAACACATAAATATATCAAGATGAACATATTGTCTCATATCATAAAAGCCAATGTATAAAATAGATTTATGAAATCAAAAGAAGAGAAACATGAGAATCATGTAAAAAAGTTTTCAAATGAAAACAAGTCAACCAATTGAAATCATAAATCAAAGTTTAAATCATAAAACCAAATCATCATTGATTTTCAAAAATCAAGAGAGGCAACTATATCTAGCTCTTGAGCTAGTATCAACCCATATAAACATTTTAGCACCCGGTAAACAAGATTTGGGAATAAACACCCAATAAATCCGGAGGGTTATATAAACGTAGTCCATTCAAAACAAATCTTTGATAAAAGAATTTTAAGAGAGGCAACAATGTATCAAGCTCTTAAGCTTGTTCTAACCCATATAATCATACTAACATCCGGTAAACATGATTTGGGAATAAACACCCAATAAATCCGGAGGGTTATATAAATACAAACCTCTCATCAAAAACAAAACTAAGAATTATGAAAACATAAGAATTTGACCAAAGAAAATTTGTTTTCATAAAAAGTTTCAAAGCATAATTTTCAAATAACCAAGAAAAAGGAAAAAATAAGAATACTAAAATTCTTGGTTTAAAATTTAAATTTGTTTTGGTACCCAAGAACTCTTGGTACCAAAAGATTTAGGGACATGACCCCTATCAATGAAGCTCAAAGCCCTAGGGTTATGAACCCTCTTGGGCACATATGGTGCACTAGCACGGTCAAAACAATATTCATTCAAATGACCCTTCCGATTGCAATTTGTGCAATGAAAGAGATCCATTTGTTTTTGTGGACCATTAACTCGTGCACGGGAATCATTTGCAAATAAAGATTTTCTTTTAAAATTATTTTGCAAATGAGAAACATTCTTAAACAATGGTCTATTTGGAACATATTGCAATTTAGAAGCTTTTTGTATATCAAAACAAAATTTAGCAAGATGTCCAAACCTACCACAAACATCACATTTAAAAACATGTGGTCTATTGGAAGCATTTGTCAAATGAGATTTTCTTTTCAAATCAAAGCAATATTTGGCCAAATGACCAAAACGACCACAATAATCACACTTGAACACACTAGCATGCTTATGATGAACTTTGTGAGAATGAGCATGTGAATGTGTAAGTGTACAAGATGAAGAAGCTATATGAGATGCACAAGGAACATTAGAATTCTTATGTTTGTGTGCATCATAACAAAACTTAGCTAAATGACCTTGACGGCCGCAAATAGAACACTTATAAGTTTTGCTATACATGTGTGCATAATGAGTGGATGATTTTGACTTAGTCTTGGCACACATGTCCATAAGCCTCTTATGATTATTAATGCATATTTTCAAAGTTGAATCTAAAGATGAAATACTATTTTTCATAAGATTCAAATCTTCATTTTTAGGCACATATGCATTTTTAGAAGTAGAACATAAATAGTCATTTATAAATGAAGCAGTGTTATTTTTTATGTTCTCTACTTCTAACATGGCATCAATCTTAGCATGAGATAAGCTAGAAATGGATGATGATAATTTCTCATTTTCCAATTTTAACATATCATTACTTTCTTTAAGAGCAACATTTTCTTTGGAAATGATATCAAAATTGGAAGCTAGCTTCTCATGATCGGATTTTAAAACATCATGCTTGCTTTTTAAATCATTAAAATCATTTTGCAATTTGTTATAGGCATGCAATAATTTTTCACTAGCACAAGCAAGTTCATCACTAGATAAATCATTATCGGGTTCGAACTCGCAAACCTCACTAGGGCTATCGCCTAGTGGCCGTGTGCATGATGAAGCTCTAATATTACTTGAGGAAGAGTCCGCCAGAATCCTTTGGATCTCCTCCAAGTTACCATGATGTGCTTCTATGAATGTCCACAATTTGTAAGCACTATCAAAATAAACAAGCTTGTTAGAAATAGAAGAATCAAGTGCATTATGCATATATTCTAACACAATCTTGTTCATGGTAAACAATCTTTTGTCATTTTTACTCCACTTGGATTTTTCCATAGTGGGTACAATATAAGCATTATTAATAATTTCCCATAAATCAAAATGTTTAGATCTAACAAATAGTTTAAATCTAACACACCATTGGGCATAGGGGAAATTGTCTAATCTAGGAGCAACACTAGAATCATAGCCTAAACAAGATGCATCATTCATATTCATAATTTGTAAAAATATGCAAGCAAGATGCAAATGCAATCAAAACAAGATTAGCACAAATAAGATAACTTGGATCTTTAACTCAAGGCGGTTAGACCTTAAATCAAAGAGCACCAAGCTCTGATACCAATTGTTAGACCCTAGAGGGGGGGTGATTAGGGTCTTATGCTAATCTAATCCGATTAAATACCAATTAAAATTAAATGAACGCCAAAGCACACTCAAACAAGCAATATGATCACGGAGTTCGGACCTTCCGTCCTACGTCTCCGCTCCCCACTCCCGGGGAGAAATCCACTAACACAATCCGGTTTGGAAGCCGGAACTTCTTCTACACACTCGGTTTTCTAGCTAACCGAAAACTCTACAACTCACACTCTTGCAATCACACTCTACACCCACTAAGTGTTGGACCTAGCCGTGTCTCCCTCAAGTGCTCGGTTACAACCTCTCCCTAGGCACGTCAACCGACGCCACTCCTCTTGGGACGATCCCCGACTCTCACCACACACTCCTCACTCGGTGTACAAGTGTATTACAAAGTGATTCTCACAATAAGCACAATATAACAAATGATTGTTCTCTCTAACAAGATGAGAACTCAATTAAGCTCACTCTCAATGACACAAACCCACAACCCTAAATTATACTATGAATGTAAATACAATAAGCTCAATAGGTTGTGTGTGAACAAAGAGATATAAATCAAAATCAAACTAAACTCAAATATAAAATCTAGCTTAAGAACAATGATAATCAAGCAAGTTTATAAATATAAAGCTAGAGTTTGAGTTTAGAAAACTTCTCAAGATCAAGATGGAGAGATGGAGATTTGAGGCCCAAACAATACGAGAATCCCCTCCACTTGTGAAAGCTAAAACTGCTTTAAACCAAACCCTTAAACAAGCTTAAACTCCTTTTTAAAACCCTTGTTAAAAACTTCTTAGAGAGTGTGAAAACTGAGATCAAAGAGGGTTTTTATAGCCTCCAAAACCTCAGACCAAAACCCCTTACAAAAAGACCAAAAAACCACCTGCAACGGCTCTAAAAAGAGCCGTTGGGACTCCAACGGTCGACCGATGAAAATCGCGGTCGACCGGAAACAAGGTCAGAATCGCAGGAGACGTCCAGACAGTCCGTCGGTCGACCGGCGAAAATTTCGGTCGACCGGAGGTACTGTAGCAGTGCACATCTGTCTTGTAAAATCAATTTAAAATAGTAAATGAACTCCAAAAATTATTAAATTTTTTGAGAATTTTCTAGACATGTAGAATAACATGTCAGAGAAAGAATTTCTGAAAAATATTTTCCTAGTTGAGAGAAATAAATGTTTGAACACAAAAATACAGTTTCTGAAAATCTGCTGTGATACACGATTTTGTAAAATCAATTAGGCACAGTAAATCAACTCTAAAAATATTAAAATTTTGAGAGAGGTTTCTAAACATGTAGGTAAACATGTCAGAGAAAGAATTTTTCAAATATCACTTCCCATTTGAGAAAACTCATCAGTTTTATAAAACATGCACGAACATGTGCACGAACGAAAACGTGAATTTGTAAATTCCTTTAAACATAACAAATCAATTCCAAACTTGATGAAACTTTGAGAAATGTTTGCAAATGATATTTTGAACATGTTACAAAAAGAATTTTCCAATTTGCATTTTCCAATTGTGAAATCTCATTATTTTGCAAAAGTGTTCAAAACATGAAAACCCAAAACCATGCATGTATATATATAACTATATATATACATAGAAACCAAATACGTGTGTGTATATGATATTGAGCTTAAGGTACTTTACACACATAATATAAAATCTAAACTAGATTACCCAAGCTTGATCTTGATCTTCATTGTAGCTCAACTTGGTACACATGCGGATGAAGCTTGAACTTGATCTTTAACTATGAATTGCATGTTGCTTCACTCCACAATTCCGCCAACCTCCATTTGATATCGTCGTTATGGCGCAATCCATCCATCCTCCAATAACGTTGTTTGTCTACAAAACATAGGAATGCATAAACACTAGACAAACAACATTAGTAATAAATTGTTTGTTAAACATCATCAAAACAAGAAGGCCAACAAAAACTACCCCACTCATGATTTGGAGTTAGCAGTGGTAGTATTCGCGCTGAAGGCATGGAGACACTACTTGTATGGAGTTCCGTTCGAGCTATTCACAAACCATCAGAGTCTGAAGTAACTTTTCTCCCAGAAGGAACTTAATCAGAGACAGCGGTGATTGATTGAGTTCATCAAGGACTACGAGTTCGCGATTCAGTATCATTCGGGGAAGGCGAACGTCGTAGCAGATGCTTTGAGTAGGAAGCATCGACATCAGGTTGCGGCTTTGAGGTGCTCGTTGTATCGAGAACTTCTCACTCTTAGCCAGTTCGATTTTAAGCCAGAGATTGGTAGGACCAGCGCATACTTGGGAGCTATATCAGTGCAGCCATCTTGGAGGGACAAAGTAGTCAGAGCTCAGTTAGAGGGCTATTAGATTCAAATCCGGAAGGAAGAGATTTCCAAAGAGCCCGAGGATGATTGGACCATTAGAACAGATGGAGGCCTTTGGATGAAGGGTCGATTGGTCCAGCTAGTGTAGAGCTGAAGAGGGAGTTGTTGGATGAAGCACATCGTTCCCGATATACAGTGCATCTAGGAACCACTAAGATGTACAAGAACCTGAGGAGACACTATTGGTGGAGTGGTATGCGTAGGGAGATTGTAGAATATATAGCTAAGTGTTTTACCTGCTAGCAAGTGAAGGCAGAACACCAGAGACCAGCAGGAACACTTCAACCTCTACCCATTCTAGAGTGGAAGTAGGCAGACATTTTTATGGATTTCATCGTAGGGTTGCCGAAGTCGAAGAAGGGGAACGACTCAGTTTGGGTGATAGTAGATCGGTAAACAAAGTCGGCATATTTAACTCTAGTGAGGACCACTTATACCGCCGAGAAGTATGCGAGGATATTTATCCGAGAGATAGTTCGACTTCATAGAGTTCTAGATATGATTGTATTGGATCGAGGATCAGTTTTTACCTCACACTTTTGGAGGAGTTTCCAGGATTCATTTGGCAGCAGATTATTACACAGCAGTGTATTTCACCCTCAAACAGACGGTTAGATAGAAAAAGTGAATCAGGTATTGGAGAACATGTTGCGGGCTTGTATCATTGACTTTCAAGGCAGCTGGGAGGATCATATTCCATTGATAGAGTTTTCTTATAATAATAGTTATCAAGAAACGATTGGTATGGCTCCGTATGAGGATTTGTACGGGAGGCCCTGTAGATCTCCTATATGTTGGGCAGAGCCAGAGGATAGTTTGTTGCTTGGACCAGAGCTTGTGAGGCAGACTACCAAAACGGTAGTATTGATTAGGGAGCGTGTTCTAGCCGCTCAGAGTCGGCAGAAAAGCTATGCAGATCATAGACAGTGACTTTTAGAGTTTCAGGTGGGAGATTTTGTCATGCTAAAGATATCGCCGATGAAGGGTGTGTAGCGATTTGGTAGACGGAGAAAGCTTACCCCAAGATATATTGACCCATTTCAGATTTTGGAGTGTATTGGGGATGTTTCATATAGACTAGATCTTCCAGCATCGATGTCTAGTGTGCACGACGTATTTCATATTTCTATGCTCAAGAAGCACTTACATGATGAGGAGAGACAGCGAGTATTGGATGCTCCGGAGATTGAGCTTCAGGACGATTTGACTATGATTAAGATCCCAGTTTGTATACTTTCTAGAGAAGACAAGAAACTTAGAAACAAGGTGATTCATTTGGTGGAAGTTCAATGGAACCGGAGAGGATCTGAGGAGATTTCTTGGGAGCGCGAGGAGGATATGCATCACGACTACCCATACCTGTTTGAGCAGGTAGATTGTTTGGATTATGTTTTCTTATGTTTTATGATGATTTTGGATAGTCATATTTATCTTTAACACTAGGATGGAGGTTGTAACATTGAGTTGTGCATAATTGAGTTCTCACCTTGTTTAGAGAACAATCATTTGATTTGTGAGCTTTAATTATGGAGATTCACTTTGTTTTAGACTAGTACACCGAGAGGAGTGTGTGGTGAGAGATAGAGTCAGTTACAAGAAGAGTGGGGTCGGTAGTAAAGCCTAGAGAGAGGTGGTAATTTCGAGTACTTGAGGAAGGACATGGGCTAGAGACCAACACTTAGAGGGTGTGGAGTGTAGTTACATTGTGAGATTATGAACGTTGATCCGTGAGCGTAAAAAACCGATATTGTGAGGTGTAAACATTATTCGAGTGAGCGTAGAAAATCCGGTTGTGATAGTGAAGATCTCCTCGAGGTGAGGAGTGGAGACGTAGGTCGTGGGGACCGAACTCCGTGATCATATCTTTTGTTTGTGATTGCATTGGCCTACTAATTCCTGTATTCATATCTTATATCGCCTTTGTGTATTACGCTTCATATTGCCTATCACATTTGTAGATTATTTATTTCACCCTTGTATTAGTTTATATATCCTTGCATATAATACACCATATATCTCTTTGCTAGGATATATCACTTTGCTCATATTGCTTATTCTTGCTCATAACACATTGTATATCTATCTTGTAAGAATAGTTTGTTGAATAAGTTTTAATTGGTATAAGATCGGATTAGATTAGTATAAGACCCTAATCCCCCCCCCCACTAGGGTCTAATAATAGTAGGGGAGCTAAAGTGTTAAATAAAAGAGGAAAGCTTACGACCTATTTTTAGTGAGAGGAAGTCTCGATCCTTTCGGTGAAAAGCCATGATGAGGTTAATTGAAAATCCAAAGTGTATTAGGAATTTCACTAGTCAAACCACTATATCATCCATTCCTAGAACATCACATCATCAATCGATATATACACTTCATTTTGCTATTGATGTCTTGTTGCTATCAACTTATTATATCTTTCTTGAATGCTAACCTTTCATTGTATTGTATTTATAGGTAATCACATTACTTCAAGTACTAGAATTGCTTGCAAAAAATAGGAAGAAATATAATGATCTCAATGAGTTAGAGAAAAATTTGAGTGATGGTGGTAATGGCAGCAATGAAGCTGAATATGAAAGTGAAAAGGAAGATAAAAGTGAAGAAGATGAAAGAAAAGAGCAAGATAGAGAGGATGAGGAGGATGGTGATGATACAAATGATGGGAAGGATGATGATGACAATGATACAAATGTCGGGGAGAATGAGGTTGAGGATGATGAGGGCAATAGAGATGAACAAGGAGTACAAAGTCATGAAGACAATACTAAAGATAAAGAAACAAATGAGAAAGAGGAGAATGCTAGTGAAAGTAAATATAGTCGTGGATCTAAATCGAAGAGGAAGGAAAAAAAAAGATGAGATGATTGTGGAAGAGTGTAAAACCACGTAAAATACAATGAATGAGTTTTTATTGTGAAATATATGCCTATATCACAGATGAATGTGATAGCAAGTGTTTGGAGATCAAACAAGTTTATTTATGTGAGAGAGAACAAGTGTAAGACCAGCACACAAACAAACATGCACAAACAGGATTTTTCCTGTCCTGTCGACCGTGGCGGTCGACCGCACAACGACCAGACAGTTTTCCCAGTTCGTGTCATATTGGGTTTTGGGTCGGGTTTTTGGGTTCATATATATATTATTATATCCGGGAGATCCTCTTCTTTATCAGCCCAAACCCTAGCAGCCTTCTTCTCCCCTCTTGCAAACCCTAACCCCTTTCTTTGGCGTTTCTTTGTGGATTTTGGAAAGTTTGAGCGAGATCCAGCAGCTTTCAGCGAAGGAAGACTTTTTTACAGCATTGTTTAGGTTGTTCATCACCCCTTAGGCAAGTTTCATCTCGCCCAATCCTATACCCCTGTTTTTAAATGATTTTAATGATGTTTTCATGTGATTTGTGAGCCTAACATGCTACTTTATGTATAAAGATAGATCTTATTATTTTATATTACAAATAGAACAAGTTTTCAGTTAATAAGATCACCCACGAATTTCTTAATGTAGATCTAGATCTGAACATATTTTACAATAAGAGTTTTGAAAGAAAAATATTTGTTTTCAAAGGTTTCGACATGTTTATGTGTGTTTAAATATGTTTTGATTTGTCTATAGTGATTAGACTGTTCTTCACATATTTTTGATATTCTAAATCATGTATTTAGGGTTGTTAGTGTATAATCACGTCACACACAAAGATTAAAATTAAACCCATGTAGAACAGAAACCTGAAAAAGGTTTCTGCTTCTACGCGATCGACCAGGGTGGACGCGACGGTCGACCGCGTAGCGTGCACAAGAAGTAGTAGGCTTCTGCTTTGGTCGCAGTCGACCGTGCTGGGCACGGCGGTCGACCGCTTGGAGCACAGACAAGCAGAGACTTTCTGCTATCTGTGCGGTCGACCGCGATGGGCACGACGGTCGACCGCTGGGGATTTTTCTGCATTGGTAGGTTGTGCATAGGTTTGTGTGGTTGGCGAGATACCTAGGTTACACGGGATTGTTATACACTGAGATTTGTGCACATGAGTTGACTACGGACATGAGTCTTAGATATATTCATCGGGGTATGAGAGTGAACAGTATATATGTTGGTTTTGACATTATTCACATGTTATAGTCCTCGTGTTGGACTATAAGCTATTGAAGTCCTTGTGTCGAACTATAAACTATTAAAGTCCTCGTGTTGGAATATAAGCTATTGAAGTACTTGTGTCGGACTATAAACTATTGAAGTCCTCGTGTTGGACTATAAGCTATTGAAATCCTCATGTTGGACTATAATCTACTACAGTCCTCGTGTTGGACTTTAAGCTGTTGCAGATTTATGTATTTGACATATGACAGGTCATTGATAGTATGATTGGAGATGGAGTTATTGCTCCACATTGTAGCTTTTAGATTTGGTATTTAGCTATTTACAATTTAAGCTAAGGGAAACGTACCTATGCTCGTGTTGTAAATTTCTAAACATCAAACCTCCATTTTATTTTACAATCGATGATTGACTATCTATATGTGTCAGCTATTTTTTTATCCTTCTAGCCCTTCCCCCTGGGTTGGTTGAGATGTTACTCGCTAGCGCTTGATGCTCGTTGTTTCCCCTCTTTCAGGTAACGAGCCAGATGCACGGAGAGCCATAGCTTGATGGAGTTGCTCTAGTTGTTATTTATAGTTATTGTTAGTAGCTTATGTCAGAGCTCCACAGTAGATGTATTTATGAATATTTGAGTTATTATTTTAGTTTTGTAAAGGCGATGTGCCTTAATGTTATTTCATTTGATTTCCTATGTCGAGACACTTGTATTCAGCTCAGATGTTTTCTTTTTAGAGAGTTATGTATTTATATTAGTGGTGATGATTTTCTTCAGAGTATCTGTTATTTAGTATTCCTATTGTATATTCTCTCTTACCTGTTTTGTACCTTCACCTATTGTTGTTTCCACTAGATAGGTAGTAACTGTGATGGTAAAACATGTCGTAGCATGGTGTTTGGTACTTGGCAGGTTTGACATTCTTGATTTTAGCTTGGACTACAGTCTGTTACTCGATTACATGTATGTCATCTTCTTATTAGAAGGACAATTTCTGATAGTGTAAGTTCCCAATCTTTAATAATTTTTGTATATTTCAATATTTTAGTTATAATCATTTTATTATGCATAATTTTTTCAGTTAGTTGATGGTATGAAGAGAGATTTAAGATGAAGATTCAAACAAAAGGGTGTCCAAAACACATGCACATCACAGGATCATTCTTTGCTGTGAGTATTAGGAAAATTTACTATCATTTAGATTATTTTTTTGGTTAAATATTATGGTTATGTGTTAGTAGAGAGCATCTACAAGATAATCTTGGTCATTGGTCGAGACAACTCAAGGGTTGACAGCTTCCACATGCTTGCTTTGAAGAATGCAAAAAGATTATTTTTCTATTCATAGCAGTAGTCATTGGCATATATTGGAATTGATTAAGTCTGAGAAAATTTTTTTATCACTATTCATCATTCACATACATTAAATATCTTAATGATGCCAAGAAGTTTGTGAACAATTTCTTAGCTTGCATAACGGATGAATGGAAAATAGAAAATGTACATGGGTATAGTATAGAAACCCAGCAGGTTCCTCACCAGGATAGGTATGACTATAACTTAAAATGTATTAGTGTAGTTTTCTATAAAATATCATTATTTTATCTTGTAATCATTGATTGTGGTATTTTTTTGTGCAAAAGCTTAAATTGTGGTATTTTCATGATGGAGTCCATATATTCCATCATCAATGGCACAACTCTATTAATTCATCAGAACGATTGTGAACTTCTAAGAGCAAAGATCGCTATTGCATTTATATCAGAGGAATCATAAAATCTGCTAGAAAATGCTTTTACCCAAGAAGTAGGCTCTGAATATATATATCTTGGATGTCCTTATTGTTGAAATTGTGCAAGAGCTTAAATCTGTGCACTTGATAGTTTCATTTTGTGTCGATTTTGTAGTATGCTTTCTCTACCTTGAGACTCGTAGCACTTCCTAAAGAAAGAGCGAATGATCATTTTATACACAAATCTTCTATAGCGGATCTTCCAGAGATCGTTTTCGTCTGTATACCTTCATCTAAGGATGCTCTCGTCTTAATGACTCTCACACTTTTCTAGGTCAAAATTTGATCTTGTCCAATCATTTTTTTGGCAAGTAATTATTCGTTTCGCAAAGCAGGGGTAACTCTCTTTTCTAGAGATATTTGAGGAATGGGTCAAGTATAATTTCTATTACATCTTATTTGATCTTAATCTGTCATTTAGGGACAATCAGTTGTACCTGTCTGCTAGACACTAAATATAAATGTCCAGTTAACTTTGTTATTCGTTGTACGTTGTGTTGCATAGTGTGTTGATTTTTATGGTGGTGATGTGTAATTGTTGTTTCATGTTTTAATTATATTCTTATTGTTGAAATTGTATCGTTTCAAAGTTTGGATAGTGGCGATTTTGGATTATTTTCATTCAATCTGCAGGATGCATTTATCTATTGATCTTGGAATTGCTGTACACAAGTTTAATGCTATGTGCTTGAGTTTAGTGGTTGATAGATATGAATGATGCTCTAAAGGTTCTATAATTCCTTGACCACTTCTTGGTTAAATCCCAGCTTTGTTCAAATCTGCTATGTGCTTGATTATTTTCCAGTTTTTTAAAAAGTATAGATCTTTATAGTAAAGTATAGCATCTTATCATGAATATGTAGCTCTTTATGCCGAAGTATAATTCTTTATAACCATAGCATAACTTTTTATTGATAAAGTATAGCACTTTATGGCCTCTGAAAAATATTAAAACTTTATGAAATATATCAAATCAGCTTTTTCTGAGCAATGTAAATGTGTGATGATGTGTACCATGTGTTGCTTGATCAATTATTCATGTCGACGAGAGATCCACTCATAATTTTCTAGTTGTTGGAAAAGTATAGATCTTTATAGTAAAGTGTAGCATCTTATTATTAAAGTGTAGCTATTTGTAGAAAAGTATAGCTCTTTATAGTCATAGTATAGCTCTTTATTGATAAAGTATAGCTTTTTATGGTCTCTAAAAATTCTAAAACTTAGTAGAATATCTCAAATCAATTTTTCTCTAAGTAATGTAAATGTGTGATGATGTGTACGGTGTGTTACTTGATTAATTATTCATGTCGATGAGTGGTCCACTCTTAATTTTTTAGTTTTTGGAAAAGTGTAGTTTTTTATAGTAAAGTGTAGCTCTTTATGGCAAAGTATAGCTCTTTATGACCATAGTATAACTCTTTATTGATAAAGTATAACTCTTTATGGTATCTGAAAATTCTGAAACCTTGTGTAATATATCAAATCAGTTCTTTTCTAAGTAATGTAAATATGTGATGATCTGTACGATGTGTTACTTGATCAACTATTCATATTGACGAGAGGTCCACTCTCAGTTTTTCATTTTTTGTGAAATATATAGCTTTTTATAGTAAAGTATAACACCTTCCAATGAAAGTGTAGCTCTTTATGGAAAAGTATAGCTCTTTATAGTCGTAGTATAGCTCTTTGTGGTCTCTGAAAATTCTAGAACTTAGTGGAATATCTCAAATTAGTTTTTCTCTGTGTAATGTAAACGTGTGATGATGTGTACGGTGTGTTACTTGATTAATTATTCATGTCGACGAGAGGCCCACCCTTAATTTTCTAGTTTTTAGAAAAGTGTAGCTCTTTATAGTAAAGTGTAGCACCTTATCATGAAAGTGTAGCTCTTTATGGCGAAGTATAGCTCTTTATGACCATAGTATAACTCTTTATTGATAAAGTATAACTTTTATGTTATGCTCTCTGGAAATT